ATATCCACTCACCAAATATTTACTGAGACTCAGTATATGCTCAGTGCTCTGCCATATACAGAGGCACAGCAGTGAGAAGAGATGGTCTGTTGTTATAGCTCCACTTTTTCTCATGAAGACCAAGCAGATGGCTGGGTCAGTGCAGTAACTCTGCTAAAACTCAAGTTTAGGTTAAATTGAATTCAAAGTCATCTCTTAAAAAGGGGAATAATTTCATCCTTTTGGAGATTTTGAGAGCATTAAGTGACATAATAAATGTTACCATTGCTTGTATAATAAATGGTGTGTTGAGGGGAGCATGGGTGGCTCAGTTGGTTAAGCGTCTGACATCGGCTTGGGCCATGATCTCACAGTTTGTGGGTTCAAGCCCCGCATTGGGCTCTGTGCTGACAGCTCAGAGCCTGGAGCCTGCTTCGGATTGTGTCTCCCTCTTTCTCTGCCCCTCCCTCACTCGTGCTCTGTCTCTCTGTCTCAAAAATAAACATTTAATTAAATTTAAAAAAATTAATGATGTGTTGAAGTCATTCCATAAGTACTTTAGTAATACATATAAAAATAATTAATTAAGTGTATTTACAAATAAATGTATGATAAGTCCGGGAAAATGTATTAATCCTAGCAACTAAAGCAAAGAATTGGTAACACATATCAGCCATTATGCTCTCTGAATTACTCTAGAGGAGGAAGACTCTTGAAATAAGTCTTTATCAAAAAACACTTAGAAGTTATATTCGCCAGTGTGTTCAAATTACATACACTATTGAGTCTTGCTGTACGGAAGAGTGGGAACAGAAGTAGATTTGGCATCTGAAGATCTTGAGTTTTATTTTCTTATCTGTAAAATGATAATGGTGGTGGGACCTACCTTATAGGGTTGCTGTGGGTTTCAGAAAGGATTATGTCTATAAAATTACATGGAAATACAAATGTAATCATTCAAATATAAGCTATTATTTTTGATTAATTAACATATAGCTACCTGATACATTTTTTATATCCAGGTTTTAGATTAAGTCCCTTAATTCACAAATATCCTAGGACACAACCTGAATTTATGGTATAGTGTCCTGAAAAGACTTTCTAACACTTGGGAAAAAATACATGTTTATGCATGCGTGTGTGTGTGTGTGTGTGTGTGTGTGTGTGCGTGTGTGCGTGTGTGTGTGTGTGTGTGTGTGTGTGTGGTGTGGTGTGGCTTACCTGTTTTTACCATGCATATCAATTTCAGAAAATGTCTGGACTGAATGGCTGAACTGTTTGAGGCAGACATAATTTAAAATTCTGAGACTCTAGCATGCAAATGTGTAATCTGAAGGGCCAAGAGCTATTACTCAGTATGACTTTTAAAGACATATAAATGAAGTTAAGTTTCTGTTCCAGCCCCATGATTTTATGATTTTATGCTTATGTAATATGACCCCAACTGCCTTCCATGAAGGGAAGATGGTTCTAAACTAGAAACCCTTGATCTTCTAAGCTCTTTGATGAGTCTGGGATTTAAATCTGGAATAGGAGCTGCAGAAAGTTGGACTGCTGTGGACACTAGAAGAATGTGGAGATTTCAGAACATCTTGTGGGAAGGGGATGAGGCGTAGAGATGGGAGAGAAAGAGGAGAAATGAGGGGAAGAAACCAAATCCGTATTGAAATCTATCAAACCCAAAGATGTTTGGTATAGAAAAATCTCTGGTAGAAACTCGTGACAAAAAGAATCTAGGTCACTTTTTAAGCATGATGAGGTAGCATGCATGGAACCAGGACCCCAGGACACAGAGGGTGATGCTAGATTTTAAGTCCCTGAGAAGTTGAAGAAGAGTTTGGGACTTTCACACACTGTGGATCAGTAGGTATTTGAGCAAACTATACCTGGATTTTCAAGAGGGCAAAGAGGCCTCAGCTGACACATGGGTTACACAATAGAGACATATATACCTATTTATTTTCTTAAGTTTGAACCTGCCTGTTTCCAAAAGGAGAAATAATGCACTTATTGTACTACTTAGTATAATAGAACTTTACATGGGGGAGCTGACCTAGGCCAATGATTCTCAAACGTGGGGAGGGGATGGGGTGAGAAGGAGGAGGTGGGAGGGGCAATTCTTTCCCCAGAAGAAATGTGTTGATATCTAGAAAAGAATTTTTTTTTTGAGTGACAGAGAGAGCATGCACAAGCAGGGAAGGGGGTAGAGAGAAAGAGGGGTGGAAGAAGAGAGAGAGAATCCCAAGCTGGCTCCACACTCAGTACAGACCCTGATGTGGGGATCAATCCCACAACCTTGGGATCATGACCTGAGCCAAAATCAATAGTTGAATGCTCAATTGACTGAGCCACCAAAGAGCCCATAGAAATATTTTTGATTGTCACAGTTAAGGGTTGCTGGTGATACCTTGTGGGCAGAGGACAGGGATGTTGTGCCATACTATATGATGTACAGAACAGACCCCACAACAAAGACTATCTGACCCCAACGTCAGTTGTGTGGAGCTGAGAAGCCCTGACGTGTGCCAACCTAATATTCTACAAATGAAAGACTGAACATCAGAGAGGGTCAGTGACAGGTGCCAAGTCACACAGTGAGCAAGAAGGACCTGCTTCCTGAAGAGACAGAGGAGATAGGTCCTTCACTGTTTTCCCACCACACCGTGTAACTTCTAAAAGCTAAAAATGGAATTGCTGGAAAATTAAGCTTCTTACGGACAAATTTAGGCTGAAGATGTACTGAATACTTGCATAAATCCTTAGAACAGATACCACTTACCTTGAGAAATCTGGGCCGCCAGAAAAATACAGAATTCAATTCTGTAATATACATTTGACTGTTGGTAGTAAAAACTATTTTCATGATATTTAACCAAAGTACTGCCCAGCATCGTGGTTCTCAAACTTCAGCATCCTTCACAGTCACCCGGAGGGCTGCGGCCCCCCCTCCCTGAGACTCTGCATTTCTAACAAGCTCCCACGTATGCCTGTGCTGCTGCTGCTCAGAAGACTGCACTTTGAGAACCGCTGGCCCAGCATTCGGTAGGTCCTCAATCAAGGCTGGCTTAATACTGTAGGTATTTAAAAATATAATCTCACTAAAAATATGATCTCATTTTGGCACAGATTAATGAATAACGCTAATTCACACTTAGAGGAAAATAATCTACAGATGGCAGAACCAAAACTAACTTTAGACCTCATTTAACTCATCTCTTCTACTTTAGAAATGAAGAAATTAATATAAATTATTTAAGCTTCATTAACAGAAAAAAGAATCTGTTAGAAAATAGCCAATAAAAGCAGTCTTAAATAAAAATCATTCATAGACGTCTGAATGCTGGCAGTGTTATCTTAAAGATATATGAACTCAACGATTGTTAAGTATGACTAAATATGCATGCATTATTTTTAACGTTTTGTTTGTGAGGAATACTCTAAGCACCAAACTGGAGTAAAACCTGGTCTGATGGGGTTCTTACGCCAAGCTAAGTCTATGGGGAAAATGCCTATTGACATCAGTAATATAAAATCAGGCCCTGAGGGACCATAACTGTCTCTTCAAATTATTTGGGAAAACATGTCCATGTTTCATCAATTAAATATAGCATAAAATGATAAGCAACATAATCCCATCTTAGAGCATCAATGTGCTACTGTTAATCATGATTAATGAAGTGAAAGGTGCCCTGAAGGAAATTCATTTTGGTAACATTCATTTTCATTCCTTTAATTCAAGAAAATTAATGCCAGAAATTTCAGATACTTAAAAACTACCTGTTTGCCTAGTGACTGTGTTGTCATTAACCCACCCCATGCCAGTCCTCGCTTAACGGACGCTGAAGATTCAGGTTCTCATCTACCTCTTTAACATCATGAGACACTTTACACAGCCTTTATTTTCCTAACTCATGACATCCTGTCCAAGACACTGAACTTCTCTTGCCAAGGGCATACAGGAAGCCCAATCTTCTCAAATGTGCCGTGTCTGTCTTCAGCATTTTAAATACACACCTATCTTTTAAATTAGGTGCCATCTGTTATATCATGACCTCGGGTTGAATCTTACTAAAATTCCTTGCCAATATCACTTCGCTGCTGCAGTCTTCCCCTGCCACTTCTCCGGGCTTTTCTGCAGCATTCAATAAGAGCCTGTTATTTTAACTAATTCCCATAGCAGGACACAGTGTGAGAGTCTCAAACAGAATCAACGCTATACGGTTTCTAATTTTACTCATAGAGTGAATAACTTTCCATGTCAAACCTGGGATCATGCCTCCAAGTCCCCGAGACACAGCGCAGCTTGAACTGGGGAAGCTAACCCAACATCATTCAGTGCTAGTATCAAATGGCGCTTTCACTGCAGGATTCACCTTGGAACTAAGTAGACAGGATTTATTATTTGTTGAAGTCACATAACTGCCAGGTTCTGCAGGCTTCCTTCTTATATTATCACAAAGAATCACAGCCGAAGACAAATACAGGAAAACATAGAGCTTATTTACAAGGGAAGCAAATTTGCCATCAGACAAGGGCAACTTAACAGCCGAGAACTGCAGTAAATCTCTTAGAGCTAATAGCGCTCTCCTGTAACACCTCCCAGCAAATGGATTGTACTCAGAGTTTAAACAGCCAAATCGACATTCATTCCTCGATGGCTAGAGATGATGCTTCATAAGCAAATCCTAATTTATGATTCATTTGCTCTTTAAGGGTCTCAAAGCTAGGATTGCTTCAAGACTTCCTATGCTCATTCAAGCATGCTGACAAAACTGGCATCCCTTAGTAATTTCTCTCTGCACCTCTCAGCATGGCTGACAGGCATCTGCCAACACTATAGCATATAAACCACTGAATCATGCAAAAATATTTACCCCCAAAAGATGTAGTAAAAGCTCAGCTTCCTCCAGCTTCCATAGCCCCTGAAGTGTTAATCTGAAAGAACAGTTCCATGAGTTTTCACAGGCCAGCAGTCTGTCTCCTACACTTGACCTAGACAGCCTTACATAACGAAGCGTCGGGGCTGGGGAGCTCGCTGAATGTCATCACCAGCAAGAGTAAGAAGTATTGGCAGCAGCAGGCAGGCGGGCAGGCTGGGAGTTTGCATGGGAATCATGAAATCTTGTCTTTCTCTTTTGAAATGTTTTGGAAGGAGAGTTAAGAATAGCTCCGAAACTGGTCTTGTTGTTTTTGTGGGAAGAATGACCAGAAGCATAAAAGCTGCATTTTCCAGTGAGTGCAGGACACCTCTTTTGGTGTTTGCAATAAACCTAACAGAACGAACTGCTATCTGTAAAGTACTGTGCCATGACACCTAAAATGAAGGGAATGGGAAAGCAAAGTAATGGCTCAAAGGCTGCTACCGAGAGCTTTTGTCTACCTTTAACTCATTGTGGTGAGTATAGGGGAATATGTGTATATATCATAGGAGTAAGAGTTGGAGGTTGGAGGTTTGTAGGATAACTAAAAGATTTGTAAGGAGTGTTTATGTTCCTTGAAGATAGTTTTGCAAGCAAGACAATAGCACCTTTAATCTTGTTTTATCAAATTCAGAAGGGGGTGGGTTAAATTGGTTGTGCTTAATGCATTTCAATTTCAGGTATTTTCATGAAAGTAATAGGAAAATCAGGTACCTCTCTGTGGTGGTTTGCAGATAACTGTCAGATGTGTTAATTACTTCCATTGTTGATACTAAGAAGATAGGAATTTCAGCATTCAGGTTTTGTATACAATGAATCTTTTTTTAGACTTTGAAAGCGATTTCTCAGAATGGGGCAAGATCACTGTGCTTTTAAGTAAGCTGTGTTAGGCTCACTCCTAGATATCTGGAGGATACTTTTAAGCAGCAAATTAAAAACAATGTACTCTCCATCTAATTTTCATTCAATTATCTCAAGCGTGTGCAATACAAGTTACGTTTTTGAGAGCAAGAAATAATAAAACCAGTCTTATATTCTGATCCTGAGTACAATGATATGATACTATTAATATAAGATGATAGTATATTGTTTAATTATATATAAAATTGTGGTTTGATATGGGATATGGGCTAAGATATAATTTCCGAGCCAACAGAAATAGAGAAGCCATGCATCATTTAAAAATAATATTAATGTGCTGCTTTTAGCTGGGAAACTTATCTGCTAATGGATCACACTGAGAATAGAGCAGGGAAATAAGAGAATTTTAGGTCTACGAAACAACACAGTGATCTAATTCCACCCCATTATTTAACCCTTAAGGACACTGAGATAGAAGTTAAATGATGTGCTTAAGGTGGCTCAGAAGAAGAGGTGAGTGGAAAGCGGTTTTCCTGATCCTCACTGGTATTTTGTCTACCATATTATAGCGAATAATTGTCGCTATAAATGTAAAGGTGTAAGGCCTGATGTAAAATGATTTCTTTAATTATAGAAATGACAGAAAACAAAGTGGAGTAGCACTAAATACCTGCTTTATAGATAGCAGTAGTCTGATTTTAGAAAAATCAATCCCCTCAGTGGATGGAATGAGAAATTTTATTCAATTATTTCTCACAAGTGTAATGAACATATTAAAACAACATTTAATTAAATTTTCAAATTATGAAATAGTATTCTGAACATTTGGCAATGGACACTACATTGGTAGTTCAGATCTTTTTATTTTGTTAATGTCGATCGTGAAGCTAGACTTAGCTCTCTTTTGGAGAGCTAATGTACATGAAATAAACAACCCATAGAAAGCAAAGAATTGGAAAATAGAATGTTTTAAAAAATAATTTGTCTTCTTACTTTCAAGTACAATGAATGAGCTCTTATAGTCAGGCAGGTTTTTTTTTTTTTTCATCCTTGCATCCCTGACCCCAGCATGGTGCTTCCTGGAAACCTCAATAAATGTTTACTAAATGAATAAATGGAAGGGTGAAATGCATTCATGATGATCCATATGTGAGAGTTGCATATGTTACTGCCAGGTAGAGTCCCTTGGAGTCATTTTAAAGAATGTATAAAAATGATTTATGAGTATATCAGCTTAATAGTCACCAAAGTAAACAAATGCTTCTGAAATACTTGTTGGGAAACTGTTCTTATTAAAAAAAAAAAATAGCATTCCCCTTACAATCTAATTGGATCAGCCTGGTATAGGTTTGACAGCTCCTAAGAGATAATTCAACTTTCACCAGGTTAACCAAATAGAGGAATTTTCTCAAGTGACATTAAGTTAAGTGACCTTAAGGTGAGACTTCACAGTCCTGGGAAAACCCATGGTCTTCCTTCCTCTTAACCATCCTTAGCATGTGGACTTCATCCTCTGATTTGTCACCTTGTGGTCTCAAAATGGCTGCCACTGCTCCAGCATCCAGGGTGTATTCCAGCCAGGAGGACAGGAAATGCAAAGGGCAAAAGGCAAACTCCAGCTGAATCAGCTCTTTCTCCAAGAGATTTCCCTATTGCCTAGAGATTGTGGCTTATGTCTTATGGGTCATAACTGTGAGAAATGGCACCCTTCCTGGTGAGGAGTCTGGAATAATTGTTTTTAGCTGAGTGCATTCCTCTCCCAATAGAGCTGGGGTTCTGTTCTTAAGGCAAATGAGGTTGCTTTCCCAGTATCCATTCTCCCTTAGCATATACTTTTGGTAATTCTGGTAAAATTCTAAAGCATTCAGCATGATCATTTAGTCTAAGTTGATTTATCTTCCAGAAGAAGCAAAAAGTTTCTCATTTTATGTCTAGATGTACAGAAAAAAATTATCCTACTTTTGCAATAGAACATTACTTGGGTAGCAATGGGTTTATAATTACACTAAGGTCAAATGGATGCAAAGAGAAAGCTGCAGATAAACTTTTCAGAATGAAAAAAGAAAATAATTCTTTGTGACATTTCACCCCATATTCACCCCACAAATAAGGTTGTCTGAAGTAGTTTCTTTCTGAAAAGATTCTGGCTATAGAAGAATAAATGGGCACTGGATTGAAATTTATTTAATTTATTGCATTTATTAAGTAAAATGGTGTCTCACTAATTTGGAATAGAGGCTTTTACTTTGTTTTTTTTTTTTTTTTTTTCAGTTCTGCCTATTGTCTTGCTGGAATTAGCTAGGCTGAAAAGCATGTGACTCTTCCTGCTGGGCCATGAAAGGGATGTTCCAATTAGGTCACAAAAAATGATTCTCTGAACCAGAAGCTGTTCTTTATATTGGGACAAGGAATAATACTGACATCTTTAAAAGGACCTGAAACAAGATGGCCCCTCGAACAAAAAATTTCACTTGAAACTTACAGAAAATTCCTGGGCAGATTGAATTAGAAACTCTCTGATTTTAGGGAGGAAATGATGGCATTCTTTTTTTTTTTAATGTTTATTTATTTTGAGGGGGAGAGAGAGACTAACTGTGAGCAGGGGAGGCACAGAGAGAGAGGGAGACACAGAATTGGAAGCAGGTTCCAGGCTCTGAGCTGTCAGCACAGAGCCTGTCGTGGGGCTCTAACTCATGAACCATGAGATCATGACCTGGGCCAGAGTTGGACGCTTAACTGAATGAGCCACCCAGTCAAACCAAAATGATGGCATTCTTAGTTTCTATTAAACTCAACTTTTATATGGGAGATAGCTGACTTCTGAACCCAAGTCACAATCACCTTGAAATAACCTATTCAGAAAAAAATGGAATACTGCTGTAGCCTCTACTATACTGAAAAGCCACATGGAACATCGTGTTCATTTCTCTCTCTTAACAGGAGTAAATAGAGGAAATTCTTTGCAGAAAAGCAGACTATATCTAGCCTAACTGAAGATGGCAAATTAAAGTATATTTAGTACCTGGCAGGTATGAGTTTCACAAGTCACAAACTCAGGGGAGAGCAAAAGTGCAAATATCTTCATTTTCTTATAAATTAATTTCTAATGTCCCATTTTCTAATGGTAGAAAATTTAATCATTTCTAGGTCAGCTCAATTGCTTTAGTACTTTTTCAGTTATCTCGGGGTTAGCTTAGTGAGATTTTTGTCTTTGCCCTTCATATTAATTAGACTAACCCTAGCCTCAGCAACAATATACCCTCAAGTCTTGGTGGCTTAGCACAATTAGATTGTATTTCTTACTCATGAAAAGTTCTGTGTGGTTGTTCCTAGTTGGCAGGTGGCCTTCCATGTGACCATTTATGGATCCTGGATCCTTCTGTTTTGTGGCTCCTCTTGCCTCTTGGTACTTAAGTCAGCCAACAGATGGAAAAAGACATTGTGAGAATTATACCTACCTCTTCAGCCCAGAAATGACACACATGACTGGCATTTATTTATTTATTTAAAATATTTATTTATTTTTGAGAGAGAGGGGGAGTGAGAGAGAGAGGGAGGGGCAGAAAGAGAGGGATACAGAATCTGAAACAGGCTTCAAACTGTCAGTGCAAAGCCCAATGTGGGGCTTGAACTCACGAACGGTGAGATCATGACCTGAGCTAAGTTGGATACCCAATGACTGGGCCACCCAGGTGCCCCCTGGCTGCCTTATACTCAAATGGTGAGAAATGGTCATGTAGCTCCACCTAGATGCAATGGAAGGCTGAGAAACATTGTCCCTAGCTGGGCAGCCACTTCCCAAAAGCAAGCATAAGTTTTGTGGTCACCAAGCTACCTCTGTCCACCTTTCATCTCTGCAGTTAATCATGTAAATAATATATCATCTCTGGCCAATTATTATGTTTTGGGATTAGAGAACCGAGGATTGAATGGGTAGGAGGAGAGGATAGCTCTCCTGTGTTAATGACTGATCATATTTTGCACCTGAAAATGGGATCACATCCTTTTTTGCCTATCCAGAGATCAGAGAAACTTTAGTATAGATTTTCAAATTCTTACATTGTAGCACCTGGAATTCAGGTCCATGATTTTACAATACCCCACATTACAGCAGTTCCACGTGCCATGAGAAACATGGCTGATCTATATGAACCTTGAAAGGTTGGTTTCTGAACTCATTCTGATCATATCATCCAGCAAATGCTTGGATATCACTTGGGTATTTCAGGCAGGATGGAGGAAGGCACAGGAAGAAAGGAGTTGAACCTTTTTATCAAAAAAGCAACATTTTCAGAAACTCTTCAGCAGACTTCCTCCTGGGTCTCATTGGCCAGAATTGTAAAATGCCCACTCATAGGAATAAGGGAGGAGGCTGGGAAAAATAGCTTTCAAGTTGGACCAATGGATGTTTCAAACAAAATTGGGGTTCTCTTCATAAGGAAAAAGGGGGAAGGGAATAACAATTGTCTGTCTCAACATTAATAGGCCAACTAATCGGCTTGTTTACATTTCCCAGAGGGCTTAGTGTCAGTGGTGTGTGTGCATGAGAGAGACAGGTTGATTGATACTGTGGTGTTGAGGATCAACCCCTAGGCAATCCAGAGACTGTTTTCAT